GAGCCTAGCATGCATGGAGCCTAGGATGTACAGAGCCTAGCATGCATGGAGCCTAGGATGCATGGAGCCTAGGATGCATGGAGCTTAGGATGCACAGAGCCTATAATGCATAGAGCCTAGCATGCATGGAGCCTAGGATGTACAGAGCCTAGCATGCATGGAGCCTAGGATGTACAAAGCCTAGCATGCATGGAGCTCTCGGTTTGATCCCCAGCACATAAAACCAGGCATGGTGGCATATAGCTAATTCCAGTACCCTGGAAGTAGACACAGGAGGATCAGAGGTTCAAGGCTACACCAGAGTCTATTTAAATTTTTTTTAATAATTTATTTTTATTCTGTGTTCATTGGTGTTTCACTTGCATGAATGTCTGTGTGAGGGTATCAGAAGGCCAGGAACTGGAATTACAGACAGTTATGAGCTGCCATGTAGGTGCTGGGAATTGAACCCGGGTCCTCTGGAAGAGCAGTCACTGCTCTCAACCACTGAGTCATCTCTCCAGCCCAGAGTCTATTTAAATTTAAAAAAAAAAAAAAAAGCCAGGCATAGTGATGCATGCTTGTAATTTTTATGAGGCCAACCATGTCTCCCAGAACAAGAACAATAACACCAAGGCCTATTTTCTCATAGTGCCACTGGGAAGTATGCCTGCAAATAAATTCTCTGCCTTACTCTCTTTTAAGGTAAAAGACTGAGTTCATTTATTTAGTCAACAAAGATTCAGTGAGTACCATGGGTTGACCGCCCTGGGTCCTGAGGGCAGGACGGGGAATAAAAGCGCCTCGGATTCTGGCCCTCAGGAAGTACACATTCTAGTAGGAAAGAAGGGACAATAAACAAATAAAAAGGAAAGCCCAAAGCCCTGCAGAAGGTGCGGACTACAGATCAAATCAAGTGGCAGGGGACGGCAGGGGCACAGCGCCAGAGACCACCTGGTGGTGGGATCTAAGCCACACGTGCCTGGGCCAAGAGCTTTCCCAGGACAACAGCTCTCAGAGACCAAGGCAGCGCCACGCCTGAGGGGCGCAGGGGCAGCAAGACCGTGCCTCGGAGCTGAACATTGGAAGGAGCAGTGAGTGAGATTCAGGTGAGTAACCAAGGGCCCTGAGGATTCTAGGAGAATTCAGGCTTTTATGCTAAAACAGGAGGTCATAGACTCATAATCTCAAAGATTTCCTCCCAAGAGTTTCTCCTCTAGGGCCAGTCACCAGTCCTTAGGAGGTCTTTCTCAGGTGCCTGGTGCTGGCAGTTGTGGCTAGCGAGGAGACTAGAGGAGAGGGAGGAGGACAGGGTTGGCAGAGCCAAAGCCACAGCTTCGGTCTCAGTCGACAGGGCAGAATTCCGTAAGCCTGGCAGAGCCACCTCTTCCCCAGTTCCTAACTGTTTCTCCCCAAAGTCAAGCATGCCAACAGAAACAGGCTGATCTGGAGTCTGCCTCCCGGGTGCCCTTTTTCTCTTGAAGAAGGCATTTTGCAACCATCATACTGTAGCACTCAGATCTGCACTGCCTGCCTCCGGGGCCTGTATGCACGGGCCCAGGCATGCAAGCTGCACGGCATTGGGACCTGCACTGCCTGCCTCCGGGGCCTGTATGCACGGGCCCAGGCATGCAAGCTGCACAGCATTGGGACCCGCACTGCCTGCCTCCCGGGCCTGTATGCACGGGCGCAGGCATGCACGCTGCACAGGATCCAGACTCCAACTCTAGTCCTGTGCACGTGGCACTTTCCTGGAGCTCACAGAGAGGATGGAGAGAGTTAAAGGGCAGGACAGGGTCCTTTAACTCTCTCTTTCTTCCCTCTTCATTATTCGTTCAACAAATGTTTACCAAGCACCCTAACCTACAGACAGAATAAGTCCAGGCTGACTCTGTTTAACTATCTTCTGGCTAAGTGACTTTGGCCCCCAGTAATAAATGACTATTTATTTAATGTTTGCTAAATGCCAGGCGTTATGATAAACACTAGACCCGTGCAGAGAAAGAAGAGCCATGAGTGTGGTGCACACCTTTAATCCCAGCACCTGGGAGACTCTACAGAGCAAGTTCCTGGCCGGGGGGTGGGGGTGGGGGGGGGGGGGGGGGGTGTCCTTCTGCGGGGGGCGGACCCCGTTTCGGGCGGTCTTGGCCCCTGGGGGGGGGGGGGGGGGGGTGGGGGGGGGTGTCCTACATAGAGAGACCTTGTCTCAAAAACACAACAAACAAATAAAAACAGAGAAATACTGTCATGGATCTTCAGATTCTAATTAAGGAGCTAGAAGTTGGGGGTAAAATAACTGCCAACTGAAGTGTCAGGGACTAAAGGAGCCAAAACAGAAAACAGAGACAGCCCTCTTTCCAACAGGGTAAAGAAGTTAATCCCAGCACTCGGGAGGCAGAGCCAGGCGGATCTCTGTGAGTTCAAGGCCAGCCTGGGCTACAGAGCGAGATCTAGAACAGGCACTAAAACTACACTAAGAAACCCGGTCTCGAAAAACCAAAAACCTAAAAAACAAAAAGGTATGAACAGGGAAGAGTGTGGCTCAGCTGGTAGAGCTTCCCCAGCAGAGACGAAACATCATCTCTGATCCCTAACACTGCATAAACCACACAGGCTTCAAGCCTTTAATCCCAGCACCCAGGAGGTAGAGGGAGGAGGATTTGAAATTCAAGGTCAGGCTGCCTGGCCTACATGTCTATCAGGCAAGCTAGGGCTATAAAACGAGGCCTTATCTCAGAAAGAAAAGGAAAACAAGGTCACCTTCAAGTACACAGTGAGTTGGAGGCTGTCCTGGGATACACGGCGAGAACCCTGTGTCAAAAACAAGCTGGGCCTGGTGACACATGCCTGTCGTCCCAGTGCGTGGATGGAAGGTGGAGGTTTGAAGTCATTCTTGTCTGCAGAGCAAGTTTAAGGCCAGCGTGTATAATATGAGACCTTGATTCAAATAAAAAAGCACTAGGTGGGTAGAGGCAGCAGGATCAGTAGTTTAAGGCCAGCCTGAGGTACATGAGTCCCAATCAAAAAAAAAAACAAAACAAAAACAAAAACAACACACACAAACTTCAAGAACAAAGACAAAACTAGCTAAGTGTGGTGGTGTAAGCCTGTAATTCCAGCAGCAGAGGGGACAAAGGCAGGACCTTTCCAAGCAATAAAATTTAAGCTGGGCATCCCTCCTGTACCCTAGTACTTTAGAGATTGAAGCAATAAAACTCCTGAGAGTTCAAGGTCAGCCTGAGCTACATACTGAGCTTCAGGCTAGCTTGGGCTGTAGAATAAGACCCTATTTTAAAAACAATCAATATTTAATTTTTAAAGAGCCAGTGCTGCAGTTCAGCGGCCAGGCAGCTACTTATATGTAAGGGTGCGCGGAGCTCAGCCCCTCGCGTGACAGACAGCCAGGGCCTTCAGTGCACAGGGCCCCACAGTCAGAATGTCGGTTGAGACCTCTGGGCAGCTTTGGCTGACAATGCCACAGAACGTGGGCACACGGGGAAACCTAACTCTCAGTATTCCTAAGATCAAGTGAGGCCAAAGGCCAGAGGCAGACTCCAGAGAAAACACCGTCCTGGAACTAACTGGCTTTCCTACAGTGCTCGGGAGGGAGGGAGGGAGGGAGGGAGGGAGGGCTCCTGCATGCGAGCCAAGCTCCCTCCTCAACTGAGCTACGTGCCCAGCTTCCCTAAGTGCCTGCTGAGGTAATCCTAGCACTTGTGGAGCAAAAGCAATGTTGTTAGCTCTACATTGTTGTACTAGCGTGAGTTCAAAGCCAGTCCAGGTTAGACAGGGAGACCCTGTCTCACAGAAACACAAGAACACACACTGATGACCAGAATGTTCTCCCAAAGGGTCAGGGTGACAGTACAGGGATCATTTTACCTCAGTCTGGATGAAATACTGTGGTCAGTAGAAGAAACAGAGCTAGCAAAACAAGGGTTCGGCTGGGTTTGCCAGCAGGCGCCTGTGACCCCCTCTCTATACTCATCTCCACTTTAAAAACACGCAGAAACGAGAGTATCCCTGCCCCCTCAGTAAGAGCTCCCCACCCCCCCAGGCCCTGCTTACCTGCATAGAAGTGATAAAAGGGCCACCACACAGCACTGTTTGGGATGTATGTGAGCAGCGAGGCCACGTAGCCTCGGTAGAAGCCTCGAAGGCCATCAGCCCGCAGAATTTGTCTGATGATGTCCTTGGTTTGGCCAAAGGCAATTACCCCTTGTCCCTCCAGGTTCCCACGAACTTGGAAGCGACCCATTTTCTCACCCTTGCGCTGCATCATCAGGTGCTGGGAGACGACGTCAATGGGCACCGTGATGCTCTGGGCCACGAGGGAGGCGGAGCCCCCGGCGACCAGTGATTTGACTGTGTTACTCTGGCTGTAGTCCGAGACAAATTTCCGGGTCAGCTCGTAAGTGGTGACATAGCACTGGCCAGAGAAGAGCGTGAAGGTGTTGACCAGAAAACCCCGGTAGAGGCCAGTCACTCCATCTGCCCGGAGGATCTTGACGAAGGCATCAAAGGTCCCATGGTAGAGGCTCTTGCCCTTCTGAACCTGCAGCCGAGTACGGATGAGGGTGAAGGGGTACATGCTAACCCGGATCATCATGGTCATTGCCACGCCAAACACATAGAACTTCTTCTTGTCTAGGTGTTCCCACTCGATGATCTGGATGTTTCGCTTGTCCTCCATTGTGCCTGAAGACCTGGGGTTTGGGCAGGCAGGGGGAGGTGAGGAAGATCAGAACTCCATTTCTTTTCCCTCCTGCCTAGGCTTCAAAGTCACCTTCTCAGGCTGTATCTCTTAGGACCCCCACCTCAGCAAGGCCTCGCCTTCAAACAGTCGGGTTCTGTCTGTACACAACCCAGGGCAGCCCTCTGCACTCCTGTCCTGACCAGTCTGTCCAACTCATCGAGTCCTTCCTCCAGAAATCGTCCCTCACAGCACGACGAGGCTAGACCACCCTCACCTCGGCCCCCACTCAGCCTGTAGGACTGCCCATTCTGAATTTTGTCTCGGCCGAGGTCTTGGCATCAGAGTCCTGAACACGGATCATTCTGTCTTACTTGCCTGGGCACGCTTAGGATGCTGTGGACAACCCATCTGCCTGGAATCAAGGCCTACATGGCTAATGGGATGTCACAAAGTGACACAGGAGAAGAAGCACCCACCTTTCCATCTCCAGTGTGAGGCACCTGACTCACATTTGCTGCCTGCTTGCCTCAGTTCTGCCCCCTGCACTGGCTGCTCTGACCACCCCTGCCCTACCCTCACCAGAACTTCTGTTTTCTCTAGTCTATATTAGAAGAAAGTGTAGGGAAGAACACAGGCAGGGATTTCACACTCCGGGGCAATCCCCAACCACCTCCCCACTCTCCAGGGAAAGGAGTCTAAAAGTCAGGAACAGGCCAAAGGTCAGAGTCCTCTTTGGCCATTAGCTAACCCCAGGAAGAGTAAAGAACCACCTGAGCTGGTTTCCCTTCACAGTCTAGAAAGGGACAGGGCCTGCTGGAGTCTGGGCTGCCAACCCTAGGTGTGCAAACCACAAACAACAACAAAACATCCCTGGAAAACGAGCAAACTGAAGACGGTATAACAGGTCCACTGTAAGCAGCCCCGAGTCATGCAGCTGCTGGGCAGCAAGGAGACAAGACAGCAGCCGAGATCTCGACTCCACTGTGCCTCCGGTGCCGTGCGGAGTTCTTGAAGAGCTCAACACAGCTCTCTCAAAACTAAGACCTCCCACGGGAGGTGGTGTGAATGGTCTCCTGACCGCCAGTTCTCTCCGCTTTAGTCCAGGGAGAGCTGGGGCTGCCTCCTCTTTCTCGGCGTTCGTTCTCGGGGACTGACTGAGCTGATTGGCTGAGCAGCCATGTGGTCATCAGAAAATAAACAGCTCAAGCTGGGACTCCTGCTGGGCATGCACAAACTGCATGCAGTACAGGGCAGAAGGGCAGAGCCAGGAAGGATTCTGTTCCAAGACCCGCTCTCATGGGCACCTTCTTAACCCATGAAGATAAGGCCCCCTGGGCAGGCATTCCCAATGAGCAATCCTAAGGCAGGACCCACTGCTCCATGTCCCCTAGGCCTTCAACTCCCACATGTGTCAGTCACTCTAATTCCTCTGAAGGGAGCCACAGTTCCCCAAGGCAGGTAATTCCCACCAGTGTCAGGGTAACAGGAGGAGCTACTAAAGGTCACAACTCAGTCAATAGAGCACCATAGTAGAAGGCTAAGAGGGCGTTACACCCTTGGAAAAGGAGAAGTTTCTCCCCTAAAAGTAGGACCTCAGCTTGCTCACTGTCACCCCAGACGTCCCGCTGAAACATCTGTTTCTCCCGTTTCATCTGCTGGGAAATCCTCTTGGCAGAAATCTGAACACAAACGTTCTTCAGCCTTCCTTTCTCCTGGTTCTGCCAGTCCAACTTCTCCGTGGCCCTCTGTCAAACCCGTTTGTGTACTTGACGACAATTCTGGACTTTCTGTCCCCTTTACAGCTGTGCATGGGGCTGGGGGTGTAGCTCAGCTGACAGAGTGGCTGCCTAGCATGTACCAGGCCCTAAATTCAGTCCCCAGCACGGCATAAAAAAAAAACAACCAGGTGTGGTGGCCCATGCCTACAGTCCCAGCACCTGGGAGGCAGAGGCAGAAGAGGATGGCAAGTCTACAGTCATCTTTGACTATACAGCAAGTCCAAAGCCAGCCAGGGTTACAAGAACCCCTGCTTTACAAACAAAAGGAAACGTTGTGAATTATGAGGTCCTTTCTGTGCATCCCAACGGCTAAGCCAGATTCGGGAGCATGTTATACTGGAAGTTACCACATGAAATGGAAGACAAACCAGTATGCTCATCTGTCACCTCCACTCTACTCACATTCATAAAATCCACAACTAGACTATTCACTTGGTTTTGCTGTTGCTGCTGTTTCTGCTGTTTGTTTTGTATGGGTCTCACGTGGCCCATGTTGGCCTTGAATCCTCCTGTCTTTACCACTTCCTAGATGCTGGGATTCCAGACGGGAGCCACCATACTCTTGTCCGGTTTATCCGGCGCTGGGATCCAGCCTAGGGCTTCTTGCATGCTATGCAAACATTCCACCAACTGAGCCAGATCCTCAGCCCTTGGAGCTACTAACTGTGAAAGGCTTTTGGTCACAGTAAAGTATTTCTCACAAAGTCCTATTGGGCAGTGATGCTCTGAGTCCTCCACACCCACAGCGATCCACAGATCCGCAGCCTGGGCATTACCTGGGGTTGCCTATTACAAGAGCAGGGCCAGGTGTGGTAGCACATGCTTGTCACTTCAGCACAAGGGGGCTGAGGCCAGAGACACGGGAGTTCAAAGTCAGCCTGGGTTACACAGCAGGACTCTGTCTTGCTGGGGGAAGGGGATTTTGGGCCATACCTGACACCTGCTGATTAAGAAATAACACTGACATCTCTAGGTGGTTTACATGGATCCTCCAAGCGCTGGGAGCACTGCTTTAATTACTAGAGATTGTCAGTTTGATGAGAATCATAACTATTCTTGGAGTCTGAGAGCCCTAGGACTAGGTTAGAAGCCCTGTGACTCGCACAATAATGACCAATTGGTCTATTCCCATCTTGGCTGTCGACCACTCCCACCACATCAGGTTACATTGTGCTGGTCAGCTCCTGACCAGACACCCAGGGGGCTGCAGTTCTTAGACAGGAGCGAATACTAAGCAGCTCCCTCTCTCCTTTCTGCCCTCTCTGCCGCACCAGGCTCTGCATTCTGGGAGCTGTCACCCACTTGAACGGGAACGCACTATCCTGGAACACTTGTCCCGCTCACTCTTCACCGCCCTTCCCTAGGTCCTGGCGATGTCTCCTCCCACTTGGAGACAGCCTCCTCCCTCCGGCACGGTGAGATTCCCACCCAGTCTTCTTTGGTCTTCAATAGAGGTCTCCACGTGATCCCTCATCACGGACACCACATGACAATCCCCTCCACATACTCCACGTGACACCCTCCTTTATGCACCTTCGGTCCGGCTCTGGCACGGCGAACTCAGGGTCCTTGGGTATGCCCCTTGCCATGCTTCTCGTCAGCCTCTCATGCTCCTATGCCAGGAAGAGATGCCTCGCCGGACTTGCCTTTCGTAGCCAGAACTGCAGGGCGGCTTCCCATGGCGCTGTAGCCCCGCAGAGCAGACATCCGCTGCCTCCTCGACAAGTCGGTCCTTAGGTACCGCTGATCCCTCTAGGCACCCAAGCACCGATGTCGCTTACCTTCCCAGACCCAGGCGGTTCGGCCGCGTCTGAGAAATCCAGGCCTGAACTTCTAGAACGCAGTCCGCGCACGACCCTCCATTCCCAGCGGCAGCCAGACTCGGTTCGCATCTTCCTCCATCTCGACTAGGATCCTGGTACTGCCGGAACCGGAAACCGGGATGCTGTCATTCCCGCCCACTGTGAAGTAGCTATCATTCCACCAATGGCATTCTCAGCCTCTGAGCCTCCCTCTAGGAGCGCCTCTTCGGCCATCTTGGATTAGGGAAGTAGCCACGCCTACTTTAGCTTCCATATGCCCTCAAGCCTGTCACGCGTGCGTGTCCCGCTAGGGACCTTCGTAATTGGCTGACGCAGAAACCAAGAGTCAGAAGTAGCTGCTTCCTCCCTCTCTCTCTTTTTTTCCCATTCTTTTCTTCCTTCAACTTCCTTCTCGTTTCTTTTTTCTTCTCTTTTTTATTTTCCTTTCTTTCTGGGACAGGTCTTGCTATGCAGGCCTGTCTGACCTCCAGCTTGTTAATCCCCCTGCCTCAGATTTCCAAGTGCTGCGATCACAGACCTGCGGCTCCGCGCCTGCTTTCCGGAGCTCTTGATGACAATTCAGTTAAAATGAGGCACCTTTTAGAATTTGATTTTCAGTAGAGAGAGGAAGGGAATCTAATCGTTAATTTTTCCGTACCTGTTCTCATTTTCGGAGCCCAAACAGTAGAGGTCAAGGTGCCAAGGTGCAGCGGGCACTGGTATAGGAACTCAAACTGGAGAAACAGGGAACTGACTCCAGCTCTGGGTGTGGTTTCACCCATATGTAGGTTTTTTTAAAGTTGTTTGTTTATTCTATGCTTTCATTCTATGCAGGTTAGTGGGTTTTTTGTTTGTTTGTTTTTGTTTTGTTTTGTTTATTCTTTTGTCAACCCGACACCGGCTAGACTCATCTGAGAAGAGGAAATGGCAATTGAGTAATTGCTTTCAGTGGACTGGCCTGTCAGCCAGTACGTTGGCGTTTTATTGGTTAATGATTGATGTGGAAAGGCAGTCCACTGTGGGGTGTGCTACCCTTGGGCAGGCTGAATGTGAGCCTAAGGAGAAAGGCACCATGGTGTCAAGCAGTCTCTGCTTCAGTTCTGGCCTCTTGGTTCCTGCCTTGAGTTCCCTTCATTATGAACTATAACTTTTAAGATGAAGAAAATCCGGGTTGGAGAGAGGTGCTCGTTCAGAGGTGCTAAGTTCAATTCCCAGCAACCACATGGTGGCTCACAACCATCTGTAATGAGATCTGGTGCCCTCTTCTGGCCTGCAGGCATACATGCAGACAGAACACTGTATACATGATAAATAAATATATCTGAAAAAAAGATTAAGAAAATCCTGGTTGGGTGTGCTTGCACATGCCTTTAGTTCCAGCACTTAGGAGGCAAAGGCAGAAGGATCCCTGTGAGTTCAAAGCCAGCATAGTATACATAGTGAGTTCCAGGACAGCCAGGACTACATAGTATAAACCAAAAAGGAAAAAGAAAGAAAGAAACCCTTACCCAAGTTGTTTTTGGTTTGTTTCTTTTTGTTGTTGTTTTGTTTGTTTGTTTGTTTTGAGACAGGGTTTCTCTGTGTAGTTTTGGTGCCTGTCCTGGATCTCACTCTGTAGACCAGGCTGGCCTCAAACTCACAGAGATTTGCCTAGCTAGCCACTGCCTCCCGAGTGCTGGGAATAAAGGTGTGCGCCACCACTGCCCGGTGGTTTTGGTTTTTGAAACAAGGTTTCTCTGTGTAGTCCTGGCTGTCCTAGAACTCACAGAGACCCTGCCTCTGCCTCCCAAGGGCTGGGATTTAAAGGTGTGCACCACCACTGCCCGGCCCAAGTTGCTTTTGGTCATGTTTATCACAATAGAAAGCAAACTAGGACACTGTCTTCCATTTTTATTTTTGTTTTGGATTTCACTGATACATAAAGATGCTGTGGGATTTGAATGTATTAATTAATGGGTACCATATGGATTTGTTTTGTTTTGAGATGGGGTCTCACACTTGTAGCCCAAGCTATTTTGAGACTTATTGTGGTCTTAGGGTGACCTTAGACTTACAGCAGTGATCCTGCCTCATTTTTACATGTTCTGGGATCACAGGCATGAGCCACCACGATGACCTTTGAACATTTTTTTTTTTGTTTTTTGTTTTGTTTTGTTCTTTTTTATGAGACAGGGTTTCTCTATGTAACCTTGGCTGTCCTGGAACTCGCTCTGTAGACTAGGCTGGCTTCAAACTCAGAGATCTACCTGCCTCTGCTTGCCAAGTACTGGGATTAAAGGTGTGCGCCACCACTATCCGGCAACCTTGAATTTTTTAATACACTTTTTTTTTAAGATTTATTTATTATGTATACAATATGCCTGTATGCCAGAAGAGGGCACCAGATCTCATTATTGATGGTTGTGAGCCACCATGTGGTTGCTGGGAATTGAACTCAGGACCTCTAGAAGAACAGCCAGTGGTCTTAACCTCTGAGCCATCTCTCCAGCCCTTAATACACTTTTTTATAGTATAATCACATCATTTCATCCCTCTGGCTTCCTTGCCCCGGCCCTCCCGTGTTCCCGCTTGTTCTCATTCAAATCCATTGATTCTTTTTCTTTAAGTGTGTGTATAAAACACCTGCTCAGGCTGGAGAGATGACTCAGTGTTTAAGAGCACTGACTGCTCTTCCAGTGGATCCAGGTTCAATTCCCAGCACCCACATGGCAGCTCACAACTGTCTGTAACTAACTACAATGCTAGGGGACCCAACACTCTCACCAGCAAAACATTACTAGTGCAGGTTAAAAAAAAAAAAAAGTTTAGTCACCAAACACATTATGAAAAGCCGGGTGGCGGTGGCGCACACCTTTAATCCCAGCACTTGGGAGGAAGAGGAAGGCAAATCTCTGTGAGTTTAAGGCCAGCCTGGTCTACAGAGTGAGATCCAGGACAGGCACCAAAACTACACAGAGAAACCCTGTCTCAAAACAAACAAACAAACAAACAAACAAACAAAACAACAACAAAAAGAACCCCCCCAAAAAACCCAAAACTACAGAGAAACCCTGCCTTGAAAAACAAAAAAACAAAAAACAAACAAACAAATAAGGGAAAGCCCAAGGGAGTAGCAGGTGGGCTCGGGGCTCAGTTCAAAGGAGCCGGAAGCAAAACGCACCACTCCTAAGGCTCTTTTCTTTTTATTCTGAATTAAAGGAAAAGCTGTTTGGGCTCTGAGACAGAACCGTGTTTAGAAAGCTCCTCTTCTTCCCTCTCTTCTCTTTCTAAAACACATTTCCCGTGTTCCAGTGGATGACCACATAACTGTCACCCCTTCCAAAAATTAAACTCCATTTTAAGCTAGATGTCCATCTTAGCACCCACTAGCCATGTGTCTCTGACTCCAGTCCCTAGAAGGTAAATTCCCAGTAACCCTGACTCAGTGACCCCCCCAACCCCAAAAATGTACAACCGTGACCATCTACTTGTGATATGACTAACTGCTTTCTTGTTTCTGTAACTTGCTCACGCAGATACTCAAAGACTGTTTGTTCTGAGTCACCCTAACCACTTCACATAACAGTTTTTGTTTGCTTGCATAGACACTGAAGGTTTTCTCCTTTAAAAATTCCTCTTTCAACCTCCTTCTCACTGCACTCTCAAATTTGGCTCAGAGATTGTTCATCCTTCTAGCAGCTAATGGATAAATCTTTTAATTATAATTGGATTGAGTTTATGCCATAGACTTCATGGTCTTTTCCCAAGGGCCACAAACTCCAGAACACTCCTCCACCCCCCACCCCGCTGTCATTTAAAGAAGAGCAGGCCCAGCTTTGTATTCTCCACTTTTTACTCTGTGTCTTTGTCTTTCTGTCTGTCTGTTGCTTGAGTCTGTGCCTGCCTGAGGGCTGTCTTGTGAGTAGTCTAAGTCAGGAGAAGAGCTTTGCTTCGTCTTCACTGGACAGCATAGGAAGCATTACACAGGGAAGGAACGGGATACTTTATAAAAATCTTTTTTGTTTTTGTTTTTGTTTTTTTTGTTTTGTTTTGTTTTGTTTTGTTTTTTTGAGACAGGGTTTCTCTGTTTAGCTTTATGCTGGCCTCGAACTCACAGAGATTCACCTGGCTCTGCCTCCTGAGTGCGCCACCACCGCCTGGCTTCTTTATAGAAATCTTTAACAGATTTTATAAGAGAGTAAGTCATGGGGCTAGAGAGATGGCTCAGAGGTTAAGAGCACCGGCTGCTCTTCCAGAGGTCCTGAGTTCAATTCCCAGCACCCACATGGTGGCTCACAACCATCTGTAATGAGATCTGGCACCCTCTTCTGTGTACATAATAAATATTAATAAATTTAAAAAGAGAGAGAGAGAGAGTAAGTCACAGACTCCAACTGACCCAGATAACAATGAGTACCACGAACATCAACATCCAAATGTTGTGTGAAACATTCATGGTGGATCTTCATTTCATAAGATTGCTTTCAACCTCTGTTTTTGCTGTATTCAGCAAATGATTATTAGAACACACACATTTCTCTGGGCCAGGGACATGGAAGACTACATAATTTAAGATTACAGCCACACATTAGCTCAGGGTGTAAATGTTGATTACATGGGAATCCAAGGCAAGTGAGGTTGATTGTTACATTCTTCTCTTAAAGGCAGGTTAAACCAACAAGCTGAGTACACAGCAGGAGATCCATGTTAAGTCTTAAGTGACTTCAAGGTGTATTATTAACTTTGACTGTGAGGTCCAGAAAAGAACTGTTGTGGAATATTATTTGAAGATCAAGGAACAAAAAAAGGAGAGGAGGATGCAAGGGACAAGCCACAGAAGAAGAAGGAAAAGAAAAAGATAAACAGAAATAGAGAAAGGTTAAAGCCCAGAAACAAAAGGTAGACAGGATAATTTAAGTTAAGAGAAGCTGGCTAGAAATAAGCCAAGCTATGGCCAGGCATTCATAAGAAAGAATAAGACTCTGTGTTTATTTGATAGCTGGGTGGCAGGCCCCTAAAGAGCCAAAGAGTAAAAAACAACCAAAAAAATTCTCCAGTCTCTTAGAAGGTAAGATATTTTTACCATAATGTATCACCACATAGATCCTCTTGCCAAGGGTGCTGGTGAAAGTCTGTAATCCTGGCTATTTGGGAGGCTGAGAC